GAAAAGAAATTTAATAGAAAGTATAAATAAATTTAATAAAATTAAAATAATATTTCAAAACAACACTGTAATATTCTAATATGATTATTTTTATTTTTTTTCTTAATGCTGAAATAAATTTTAAAAAATATTAAGTGAAATAATATATAAGGTGTGCTAGATGGTTTATATGGTACATAATTGCTAAACAACTGACGATTTACAACAGCGTTTAATCACCCATTTAACGAGTGATTATGCTCCTTCTAAAATTTTTTTAATATCCTATTTTATTTTAGATTATATGACACTTTTAATTAATTGCTTATAATAATACTTCAATATTCATGAAAATATTGATTAAATTATTGTTTAGGGATTTTAAGTGTAGGCTCAATTTTTATTTAGGGTCTTTTTGGGGCCGCTTTTTTGCAGCTTTGCGGTCCCCAATTGCGCAAAAAAGTTGTTTGGCTCGCAGCGGAGAAAAGCGGGAAGCGAGAATCACCCTGCGGCACAGCTTCGTCTTTGAAAATGATATTTTTGCTCTCGCAAAAAAACCCTCGTTCCGCTCTCGTCGCCATGCGTTCTTCCTCCTCAACCCAGACTGAATCCCGCGCCTTCCCGCCCTCGTTGCCTGTTTTTCTTCCCACCCTCTTTGCCACCTTGCCTCGCCGACCAGGACCGATTCGCAGAGGAGCTCCCGTTCTTCTTCCCCGCTTTCTTCCCCTCTCTTCTCCCTCGTTCTCCCTCTGCTGTCTCCCGTTCTCGGCGTCGCCGGCTTCACATGACAAGGTGATTTGCACCTTTCTCTTCCTCCTCGACCCAGAACGAATCCCGCGCCTTCCTCCGCGTTCTTCATTCCCCGTTTTCTTCCCCGCTCTTCTTCTTTCCGCCCTCGATGCCCGTTCTTCTTCCGGCCCTCCTCGCCATCTCGCCTCGCCATCTTTTTTTTTAGATATCTGTGTAATCTATTCAGATAGCACAAAAATCTTATATATTTACATATGTTTTTTATGTTACAGCGGGCCAAAAAAGATTTGAAGATCAAATATATTTACATATGTTTCCAACCAATATATTTACATATGTTTCCAACCAAACTTTCTTCCATGGTTGCTTGTTTATGCATGCTTTGATTATCTGTGCTTTTGCGACTTCCTTTCATCTCATTGGTTTATCATTTTTGCAAAGTTACATTTTATTATAAAAGATTCTCATGCTTGGTTGGATAAACCACTTGCCAGGTTTTTTTTCATTGCTTAGTTGAAGATTATGACTCAGTACGTTTATTTTGCTTCATTTTAGCTTCTCTATAAGAAGAGTAATTGCTGATGGAAGTTTGTTTCTTTTGAGTTGTATGGATGATTTGTGGGTTAGAGTTATTTCTGCTTCGTCTCTCTGCGCATGTAACTTTTTGCATTTCTTCATTGAAGCAGTTCCAAAAAAAAATACATGATTAATTGATTTGGATGATTCATCATGGCCACGGAATGATAATCCTTGCCCTATCACCCAATTTCTATGTATTTGCATATCTAACAAATTTATATGATTGAAATCTTTGCTACAATGTCTCTTCATAATTACATAAGAAGACATCATTCCTGTAGCGATATCGATTTCCATTTGGCGGAAGAGGATGAAGAAAATGTGCATTCGGAAGGATTTCAATACCGACTAGGTCAGTCTTTCACAGAAGAAGAGACCGAGACTTCCATTGCCTTTATTGTAGATGGGGAAGGTGCAAGCGAGATGACAGAGTTGAGGGAACGAATTACTGATGAGATAGTATGTCTATGAATGAAAAATTTGAGAATTTATTAGTTGAATATTATTAAAAATATTGCTACACTGATTTTTATTCAACTTCATATTTATCTATTCTGTTGTTTTCTTTTTTTTACAATTCATTTATTCCTCATCGAGAAGAGTTACATATATATTAATTAGGTGCTTAAAATACTATTTAAAATACATTTATTCTTTTTTTACAAAGTAGAAGCCTGATATGAAAATTACACATTTAAATCGATTTTTATTTGTGGTTTTGTGCTTACATTTTACTTTAATTTTTTGGTTAAAATGAAAAGTAATTCTTGATGTTTTTATTACCTACTTATGGATTGAGGGTGTCGTGCAATGTTTTTATACCGATTTTAGCTTAGTTTTCATACCGCAAAAAAGGTGAGAGTTTGGTAGTCCATGCTCAAATAATCTTTCTTTTTTACTGCCTTAGAAGGTTCATAAAGCATACCCATAAGATCAATTCACCCAGGAGATTGGCTGTTCCTTCTAGTTTACTCTCTGAACATGCAAGAGCTTAATTTATTGGTTATGGGTTTTATTAATGCTAATCATCAACAACTTCCTTTTTGTTGTGGTGTTATGGGTTATATGCCTCCAGATGATAATTTGGGATTTTTGTGTTTGTGCTATTCGATTTATGATATTTTTTTTAAATGACAAATGCTTGGTTACTAACTCATTATAAGGTGTTAAACTTGTGATGCTGCTTGTAAAATTGGGCGGTGTTATTTGTGATCTGAATTTCTGAAGGCTTGGATATGTGGTGATAGCAGTGGTAATGGGTTGGACAATAATTCTTACGTATTTACTTATGTAATACCTAAATTCTAATATTACATGATTTATTTACCCTATATATTTATCATTATGTTTTCCTTGAATTTCTCTTTGGATTGTGCCATGCCTTTGATGATAATCACTGCTTTCATTTGTCATTGGTTGGGACATATTCGGATATGAAATTTTGAGGGAATTCCTAATTATAACTTTGTAGTAGAAATATTTATATTCATACCAATCAATTATTTTGTAATTATATGTGTAAATTGAAGTGTTAGACACATATATTTATAAGAATTGAATGGTATGTATGTAAATTTTCCAATGTTTTTAGTGTTAAATTGTCTAATTGCTTATTTTTAGAATCTTTCAAGCTTGAGCTGTTTTGTATTAACATTGCATTTAGTTAGCTAAGTTTTTTTATTGCAGTCCAGGTTTATTATTAGCTAGTAATTAGATGTACAATGCAGATTTGATCTCCAATCTGGAGTACATCTGTCGGTTCGTCCATATTTTCATGCAAGTATTGGAGGATTGCTTTTGGTAGAGCAGGTACAGCCTTGTAAATTCCATGGGAATGACAAGGTTTGTGTTTCCATCGTTGGTTGCATTTTTTGTAATTTTTTGCTAATGTTTTATTTTCTGCTCATGATAATTGGTTGCAGTTTTTGAAAATCTAATATCTGAACTTTAGTTTCTACATATATCCCACTTGAGAAGACACATTTCACTTTTTAAAAGTTAAAATAGTGGTATTTTTTATGTGATATGAAATATGTGGGTTGTAGAGGTGAAATTAAAATTTTAGGTGTAGAAACGAAAATACATAATTCTTATTCGACAGGACATGCTTCTTATTGCTGAATCTGAATAATATCTCAACTCTAGTTGTTTCTAACAATTTTTAATGTAGTGAGTAGTTAATTGTTGGTGTAGCAAGCGTCCATGCTGTTGTAACAATTTATTTTGGGTTCATTTACATGCATACACTTGAATTCATGTTTATTTACATACCTATCACATATTGTTTGCAGGTGTAGCAACCATTATTGCCATGATAGTGAACTCAATCATATTTAAGACGTAGAATTATTTATCTGTAGCTGATGTGTTGTATCTTTGGGGGCTATGCAAATATTCGTAAAACTTCAAAGTTTATGTGTTAGATATGTATATACATAAGATTGTGTTGCATATGTGTTCTTATTCATAAACAGATGTTATTAGCACTTTGGGGTCTTACTAAAGTTCCAAAATAATGTTTGTTATACTATTCTTTTAAACAGTTTTACCAAACATGGGTAGTATGGTCTTTTTTTCATAAACAGCTGCCCGACATCTGGTTTCACGCAGCTGCACCAAACAGACAACCAGCTTCCCCACAGCTGCTTCCTGGGGCAGCGCAGCTGCAGCTGAAAAGCTGAGAAGCTGGAGCTGCGCCAAACAGAGCCTTAGTCTAAATACTGACTTTTAATGTATTTACTTATAGCTTAATATGATTAATTTTAAGAGATTATATCTTATATTATAGCATGTTCGATTTATGTCATTGTCTTAATTATTAATTTAAAGTTTTACTTTATTTAGGACTAATGTGTTAATTTTTCACCCCGTGTTGGCCAAGTAATGAAAATCATTACATTGTCATAAATTGATTTTTATTTTGAAGCTTTAATGTCAGTAGTGTGCGTTCGTGATGAAATCATAAATTTTTATGAAGACATATTTGAGAGAATATAATTATACAAAAAATTCCATACAGGGATGTCAGAATAAAATGCCATTATTTACAACTTCAACATCACCATACTAGAAATCACATTAAACCATTCATTTTCTTTCTTTACTCTGATACTAATAACTTAATTAACAAGTTAAATAATATTTTTATTATTTATCTTGCATTAAACAAAATCTTGTTATTTAAATTTTAAAAATTATATGCTCAATACAATTTGTCAAACTATTGATAAGATTTTTTTCTTATGATGAATTCTACTTGAATTCTTAAATGAGCATTAATTATCCTCGAAACAAATTTTTTACAAGTATTTGCTCCATAAATTTTGAGATTTTGTTGTTAAAGCTTTATTTCCATTTTAGTCAGATATTAAAGTTTAGCTTCTATAATAATTACTTTTACATTTCAAAAGATTTTCTTGCTTATATGTTGTATCCATGTTATGGACTTGAATTAGTATATAATAAAATAAATGCTTTTTATTACTTAATCTTACTATTTATAATTGCTTGTATATAAAAACGCATATAAAATAGGTTCAACTTATCTTGACTTGTGGAAATTTGATTCAAGAGCAGAGATCCATCCTTTCATCTCATTCTATATACAGAGGAAAAGGAAAAGCATAAAATAAACATCAGAGTAAATTGTAATCCTCAAAATAATATTCTCTCGCCTCTAAAGTAAGTTAATAAAATTACAGAAGGAAAGTCTAATAATCCCTATGCCCAATACAATAATCATATAAACATTTGCACCCACAATTTAAAAAAAAAAAAAAAGAAGGCACACGGCATAAGAAACAACAAAAAAGGACAGTCAAGGTCTTGCAAATCCAAGCTGACCCAAGTTTCTTCCATGCATGCAGTCCTGCCTTATTTCTTTACATCACAATGAGAGAAAAATCTACAAACTATACAAAAAACATGATGGAATCTGAGTTCTCTCATCAAGGATTATGTTAAGTGGATGGAACTAACCATGAAACGGTGCCGCAAAACTCCATGTCAGACTTTTGTACACTTGGATGCGCAAATCCTAAGCCAAATCATTGCTATGGTATGATGCCTCCATTCAAACTGCTCTTCTCTCGCTTCTCACTCATGAAGCTATTTGGGCTTTCTACTGCATCTCCTAAAATGGTTCCATCTTGCTGACGCACAAATATATTCAAACCGACTGGTGTCACTGATGTCACAGGTTCCTGCAGAAGACCCATCCAGCATCAGCAGAGAACAAAAGAAAGGAACAAAGATGATCAATGCCAACAAATTAGACTTAAAGTAGAAGCCAACATGATTACAAGCACCAAAGGACCATAACATAGCTCAACTTGAGTAAACAAGTATTAAAAAAATATGACCGACGACAGTTTCAATGCATGGTGAATGTTGTACATAAGGTTGATAGAACTTCAACTACTGGCATACCTCATTGCCGGCTTCCGATCCTTCAGAATGAAAGAGAATAGGGCGGCATCGCTTGTCCTCATTCATCAAGCTTGAATTTTGAAAGTGGCTAACAAGTGCCACCTTGCCCTGAATGCGAGCATATGCGAGTGAGGCAACTTTCTCACTGTTGAACTTCTCCCATTTCTTTCCATTGAATGTCTGCATAATAAAAGAGGATCAACAAGGTAAAACATGATTAATAGGAATAAATCGTTTAAGATTGGTATCCGCTCTAATAATTCAACAAAAAAAAAAAAAAAAACTTGTGGCATAAAAAGTTGATCTGATTCAGCTGTGACAAGTGATTACAAAGAATAATTGTCATAATACTAAGAGCTCTCAGAAAATACCTGATGAAAAGGGAGGATGTGGGAAGGAGACAACATGTTAATAAACGCATAGCCCACATTGCACTTGTTCTACAAACATTTTAACGCAAATCATTGTAAAGTCCAACTGAAAAATATTTTCAAATATGGAGGGTGACTTCATTAAATCATAGTAATCACCTTAAAATCAATAGGCAGATACAAAAAGTCATAAGAACCCTTGTGGTTCTCATCAATGGTGGCTAACAGCATTTTCGAAGTGTACCTTGCATTTAAAAAAAAAAAAATTGAAGCATTAGTGTGTAATCATTCAATACAAAAAGCATTAACTTACTATGTCAACAATCTTATGAGCATACATACTTATTTGGAATGTTTTTTATCATCAGGGTTGTCCTGGTGTCTTCTCCATTGATTATCTTCTCCAAGTTAAGCTGATACTGCTTCTTGCTGTCCAGTTGAGTGCCATAGCCTTCAGCTCGCCGATTGCGAGCTCGCTCATTCACACCATCAACTCCAGGAAAAGGTACACTTCCGAAGAGTGAGTTACCCAGCCTATGTGAAGCTAATAACCTGAAATTGGATGGACTAGTCTCTAATATGTTCCCGGATAGAGCAACTCCATGGTTCAGAGGTGCCTTAGTGCCCATGTTAGCTGTTAAACTTCCATCATTTCTGCCCATGCTGGCACTTCCAAATGGAGATGGACTCAAGAAAGAAGCCCCTGGAGGCTCAGAAAAATAACCAAAAGGTCTTTCAAATGATATACCAGATGGAGCAGATCCTACATGATGGTAGAGATGATTATGGGATGATGGTGAACCAATGAAGGGGACATGACCCGGATATAGAGTTCTCTGCCCTTGGCCTTGGGCATTAGATGGAATTTGATGTCTCATAGACTGCCAAGAAGAAGGATGGGAGAAGTCACTAAATGGAGGACTGCCCCATAGAGACTGGGATCCAGTAACTGCGCCAACACCAGATGCATTCAATCTTGGAAAAGGAGATCCATTTTCTGTATTTGATACCATACTGAGCATCATTTCACTCCTCTCTGGAAAGGAATGAGGATGCTGAAATGCTAATCCTTGTGAAAGTTGGTTGCTATTTACATGATCAGAAAGGTTAATCCTGTTTTGTTCTTTCCCAATAGGAGCAATCTTCATAGAATTTGAAGATGAAGGCACTAGAGATGCTAATCCAGGCAAATAGTTGCCCCCTATAGGATCACTGGTACCAGTGGACCGACTAAGAGATGAAAAAGAATCATTTTCAATTGGACTTTGTGTCCATATACCTATCATTGGCATCAGACATCAATAAAATTTTCAATTTTTTTTGGAATTACATAAGATTAAAAACAAAAGTTAAGATATTCAAACCTGGAGGAGAATTGGCTATAGGCGAACCCCCAAGTTGTCCATAAATTCTGTTATCATCCTTTTCGATTTCTTGGCTCATTTGTTGAATTAAGCTACTTTCAGAAGAACAACTGTTATAAGTTTTCGTAAATAAACCAATCGAAGGTGAGACATAAAGGAAGCTAAACTATACTAACACAGGTAATAATCAAGTCAGGGCAACACTGTGATACAGTTTTATGCATCCTACAGAAAGATGATAAATATTGAAGGATAATGTATGGAAACAACACTTATTGCCGCTAAAATGGTAAAAATTATACTATTTGGATGTAGACCTAAAGATAACTAGTAATCTAAAACTGAGAACATCTAGAAGTAACCTAGTTTGTAATCACCATGTTCTAATTCAACACATTTACAATACTCAAACTTCTCACATTTCGAAGAATTCTTTCAAAATAAGATTAAGAACCCATTCCATAATAATAGCATGAAGAATTTAATAAGCACATCCTAAGGGAAAACTGGACGCCAAAAATGCATTAAGAGACATGCCAATTGAAGAATAACACCACTGCATAAGCTTACCTTCTACGTGCACCACCAGGACGACTGGGTTCTAGCTTTATGCGCTTCCCAGCTATGTCACTTTTGTTCAAGGCTCGAAGGGCTGCTTCAGCAGCTCGAGCATCATAAAATTCAATAAATTTATGGTGTCTTTTGTGAGGGGTTTCCCTTATCTGTAAAAACGGGCATGGACACAACAAATCTTCAACTTGAATGAAACAAACAAGATTAAAAAAGGAGAATTATTTAAGAAAAATATAACCCACCTCCTTTACTTCTCCAAAATTTCCAAATAGCTGAAGAAGATCATCATTTGAAACTGACGGATCCAAATTAAATATTACAAGGGTTCCTTGATTCAAATCTTTTTCTGATGGGTTCTCCTGTAAAAAGCAATAAACGAGAAAAATTTAAGAACCAGGTGAGTTGAGAAGCTTTCAATTTAACATAAATGAATTGTACAAGTGACTTAATTTTCTTCAACCTTAGGTATAGAAAAATGGATATCCAGCTTTCTCCTCCGCAAAGGTTTATTTTGTAATGCACGCATAGCAGTCCGAGCAGCTCTGATGTCATAATAAGATATCATAACAAATCCCCTATTTTTGCAAGTAGTGTACATGGTTCTGATATCACCATATTGCTACAGAACCAGGCAATTCAGTGACATGAATGAGACACATAGCTATCTAAGAAAAAGAATATACCCAGAAAATTCCAATTAAGAGAGCAAAAAAAATGCAAGCAACAATAAGAAATAAAATCGTTAATGAAAATATAAATGTCTACAAGCTAAAATGATTATGTGTCAAAAAAAAAATTAGAAACTAAGGCAGGAACAATAGCATGGAATAAATTGAAGGTTTTTATTAAAGGGAATAAGGCAAGTGATAGGGTAATATCCTACATGCATTTTAGAAAAAGTAATATATCTTAATTTTTAGCAAAATTACTGTTAATTAATGATCATTGAAAGGATAGTGAGGGACTCAACGACAGGAAGTTGTGGCCACCTAGTTGTTAGTGTCAATTTACTAAAGTGTGAACTAGCAATCTTATTGGTACAAAATTGTAGCGCAAACAAAGGTGCTGGAATGTTGGAGAGGCAGCAAACAGGAGCAAGATTAGAGTTAGGGTCATGAGCGAATGGGGTTGGGTGTAACAATTGATTCGAAATTCAATTGATTATGGCGAATTTACAATGCACCAAAAAACGAGACTGCTAAGGTATTCCAAATTCTTTGATCTAAAACATAATTTGCATCTGATTTAATTCATATCAAACACCTGGAAAATCAAAACACAAGTATTACTTTTACTTCAGACCTCACGTGTTTGCAAGAAAGTAGCCCATAAGCTAATAATCACTGAGGATGCTATACATATGATTAATGACTATGTTTCACAAATCAGATTAGAATATAATTTGAAAAAATAAATTTGGAAAGACATGAATGAAATATTAGAACATATACGCAAAGAAGATTATATATTTATTGGGAAGAGCTTAAATGGACAGATAAGTTTTAATAGAAGAGCTACTAAGGAGAGGACGGTATGGAAAAGGGTTCGAGAGTAATATTATGGAAAAGTTATAGTTGATTTTATAGTTCCTTAGTTTATTTTTGAAAGTTAAGCCATTTAATTACAAATAAATTTACAGTTAAGTCACCTGATCACAAAAAGAATTACAATTATACATGCATACAATACATATATATATATATATATACCTTCGACGTAAGAAAATTTTCGTAAGTAATTGCCGCAATAAGTGAGACGCTAAACCTCAAATAATAGCTTAAAGTCAAAATAAATTTCTTTAAATGAAATGATAACATGACGTGAGATAAAATGAGTAATTCAAATAAGAAAATTATGATAGAGTATTTAAAATCACCTAAATATATTTGTATTTTAAAAGAAGTTTGGTGGAATGAAGAGATACAAGAGATTATTAGTGGAATAATGTGCTTTAAGGAATGACAACAAATAAATACTATAGAAATTTATAGTGATTACATATAGGCTAGAAGTCTTGATAAAAATATAGCAAGCAAAGCAAAAAAACTATAATTCTTTTATGAATTATATAATATGTTTGATGCATAGGAAAATGAGAAGCACAAAATAGCTAAGATAAGAGATATAGACTTTCATTAAGTAGATGCATTAAAAAATGAAGATTATATGAGCATAATTACAAATAAAAGCATAAAAAAAAGTTTTAAAATTATTAAATGAGTGATTTACGAAAAATCATTTTGAAAGACATAAAAAGTAAATAATATGGTAATATTATATATTGAAACAAAAAAGTAAGTGAAAATTAGTTCTAAAATAGATGCATAGAGGTAAAATTTTGGGATAAGATAAGCTATGGATTAAGATTTGATGAGTCAATAGGTGACATTCAAATAAAAATGTAAGAAATTATTTTTCGTGAAACTTTAAGAACTTAGGGGATGTCAAATAGTTGGGGAAGAAGCATCTTAACAGCAATATTGAAGAAAAAAAAAATATTCAAAATTTTAATGATTATTGATATAACCTTATATCATACAATGTAGTTATAGAAAATAACAAAGGATATGACCTTAGAAACATTATGTTGATATTGGAGAATCAATTTAAGTTTATACTAGGAAGATCCATTATGAGGCAGCCTTTGTTAAGGCAATTAACGGAAAAAATTATAAGGTAATAAATCATCTTTGTACTGTATTTATTGATCCTAAGAAACCTTATAATGTATAATGAAAACTAATTTGATGAATACTAGGAAAAAAAAAGTATGCCAGTTGTATGTTAATATTACTAAAGTTATATATAATGAAGCATTGGTTTAAATACCTATGTAAAATTACACATAATCAATGCAAAATAATACCGACTTGATATTGATTCTTCATGTCATCATATCATGATTTGATTCCACATAATCATATCATATCAATAAATGAACCTCAAATAAGTTGGGATGAAGTTAACAATGAAGATGATGATTGGCATCTATAATAATAAAATCTTTAGTTATCACTTTAGGAGACCTTTGAAGCTTGCATATTTTGCGTTCTTAGCCTAAAATAGTTAATGTTAATGATTTTCCAATTATAATTTTAAAATAAAACATTCACAAAAAAGTATTATCTACTATTATAATAAAGGTCTTCCGATTGTTTGAAAGAACCTGAGAACAAATACATAAAGCAGTTAAAAAACAACGTTGAGTATGAAAACAAATGAAGAAATTGGCAAATCACCCAAATAAATACTCGGATATGCTTCGAATTACAACATGACAGTAGCTGAATAATTCCAAACGAATACATAGCAAAATAACAAATCATTAAAGAAGGAAAGCATGATCCTCAAGGGATTTCCCACATATTTGATGGCGTATGAAGAGGATTTTGTGTAAGGGATGATGCATGGATTCAAGAGGCATCAATGGCTGATAGATCTTGCATCTTTGCAAAGTTGAAGTTTTAAGGACTATTTTAATCCTAGAGAGACTTGAGCTTAATAATGCCAATTTTGATAGAGTTTTTGCATCGATCCTATTGGCACTAACTAGTAATCAGCCGAATCCACTTTTTTAGTCAAAACAAAGAGACCAACTAGAAATTTTTCTTGTATATATTTTTAATATATATATATATATATAACAGAATAAAAAAAGTTAGAGCCAAGAAAAAGAAAAAGTATCTTGAGTATAAGACATGCCCATGCTGGCTTTGTGGTATCGAAAATGTGCCTGCTACAATATCTCCCTTAAATGAAGCAACCCCTTCATAGAACATATAGGGTTGATGGCTAATAATAGATCAGAAAGTCAACATTCCTAATTTGGCTAAAGGTAGCATAAATGAGTTGCAAAGCAATTGTTAACCTCAGGTTTTCTTTCTCTAATGGACTTAGACTCAACTCATCAACCATCACAAAGTAAAGTCCACATTGATATCACTAGAGGTGATTGTGAGTTGAAAAAAAGTTGGATACAATAAGAGCTTCTCTGCTTCGTCAAAATGATGTAAATGGCCCTCCTAAACAATGCCCACTAAAGGACTTATAAAAATTGTCAATCAAGCTTATAACTTACAATAGATAATGTTTTCAACCATCCCTGAGCCTGTTAGTCACATCATTAATTTATTCAAGACTAGAATCATGACTTCTGATCTGCCAAAATCATCAATATCATGGTTCATGGATATCCGTCAAAAATCCACAAAATAAGTAAAAGGAAACACGAAACCATGCATGTTTAATCTTAAAAATTGGTGCCATTAATTTTGGATGGAAAGTGCTGTATCACAAAAGCCTCTAAACTGACCCAAGGACACTATATTTTTTTTTTCTCAGACTTAATGTTTTGTTAAGAACATAAATAGGGAAGAAGAGCAGCAAGAAAAAATTATGGCTGACACTTCATGCAGGAATTCCATCAAGAGTTGGGGATCCCCACACCCAAAAAATAATCCCCTCCCATCCCTGATTTCTACATTGTAGCAACACCTGCTCTGTAGCAGAAGTTACAAGATATTACAAGCATACAACATGGTATTGTAGCTGTTTTTGCAGCTATTTAGATGTTTAACCCTGCTACATAGTTAATTCATGTTCCTTCATTCAGGAGTTAGATTTGACCATTGGTTTCTTTTATCGCTAATTTCTTATTGTAACTCGGAATTAAACACTTAATTTCTTTTATAAGCTACTTGTGCACCCTACTAGAATAAAAAATTAGTTGTTTATGGGTTTAATATAGTCTGGACTTGCAACCTTGATTCAAAAGCTGTAGCTATTTTATGATAGAAAACTTAATAGTTGGAAGTATAGGCTAGGCTTTGCAAGACAATCAAATATGGGTCTAATTTTGATTCTAAATAGGAGGTTTCTATGCATGTAAAATTCAACAATGGTTCAACAAAATATTAGTTTCCTCTAAAATTTGTGGGTGCTAGTTGGATGTGAATTCTTTGAACTACATGCAAGTTTTGACATCAAATCTCGGGGGAGCTTTCTCTTTGTAATGGCATGAAACTTACATTAACATTGTGGCACTTCTCTTCTTATCCCTCTTAACTTTTTCCAGCTAGTTCTTTGCAAGCATTTGAGATTTGGTCATGTTTGCTCCAATATGATTTTCCCTTTGCATTTTGAATCCTAATTGTTTTGTGTTATCTATGTGATATTCGATTTTTTTGGCTTTTTTTTTTTTTGACAATCAATCACTTTTTTTTTAGGCAGGTTTTAATATTGCATCAAAAAAAAAAAAAACAAGAAGAAAAAACTTGGCCTAAACTAAAAGTATGCAAATTTTGATCGTTCGTGATGTTTCCCATCTTAGGTATGTATTAATAAGCCTAGTAACTTAAGACATCTTGAATTAGAACTATACTAGAGACGATGCTTAATTCATGTGAAATAGAAGTAGGATATAATAAGCGAATCAATGAAGAATAAAATAAGTGACACATTTACTGAAATTGTATAAATTATGAGTCAACATGAAAAAAAAGTAACTCGTATGTTAACAAGCACTATTACGGAGGGGAGCATAACTTTGAGAAACTTTCATAGTGGATTTATAATTTGATAAACTTCTTTGAACATTACAATCTAGTTGAAAAATTCAAG